TCTTTGCCCTAAAATAACCCCTATAGCATAATCACGAGCATCACACATTAATTTAAAGGATTTTTCCCAATCAGGTGAAACAATAATAGGTGCAGTGATTATTTTTTTTTAATAAATTGAAGGCACTCGATCATTCCTCATTAAGATCAAAGTTAGTGTCTTTTTTCAAAAGATGACACAAAGGTTTAGAAATTTTTGAAAAGTTTTTAATTTAACATCTTTAGAAACCATCATATCTCAGATAACTTCTAATTCCTCTTACGGTAGTAGGAGATGATAATTCAACAATAATTTAAATTTTTGTTGGATCTACTTCTATGCCTTTTTCAGAAATCTTATATTCTAACACAATTTTTCCTGCAACCATAAATTGACATTTTTCCCAATTAAGAACAAGGTTTGTTTATTCATAGCATTTTTAGTATAAATATAAAAATACAAGGTAAAAATGGTAATAAAATTAATACGTGAAAAATATAAGATTTACATTTATACCTAAACTTTAATTTGAATATTTATCGTTTTTATTATGCATGAAACAACTGTATTCCACTTCAAAAAGTTTGCAATAATAAAAGATTTGAATATTATAAATGTAAAAAATAAAATATAGTCATTACATAGGTAAATACATAGGAACTGTGATGTTTTGGAAATGCCCAAAAAAAATACACAAAGAAAGATAAAAAATTATTTGAAAAGGAAAAACAAAATGTCCTTTTTTTATTCAACAGAATATCACCGAATCATATACTAGAGGAAAACATTTGAGCTTCGTTTCAGGCGACATCAATTCTTCTGCTTCAAAATTTAAAAGCTCATTTCTCAAAATATGACTAAAATACAAAATATATGATCTTATTAACTATGGTAGAAAGTTGGTTAAAATCAGGACCATTAGGCACTCCTTATTTCTCCCACAATAGAGAGAGAGAATAAGAATAGCAGTGCACCCAAAATAAATGCAGCATTGACATGAACAAAGAACGCTTGCAGAAGCTTTTCTGGTTTTTTTTTATAATTGAAACGCTGATCACCATTTCCTCTTTCTCTATGATATTGACATGTCTATCATATGAGATATATTTTCCCCATCCTCATCAAATTCTGTAAATCTGCACGCATCAGTCCTAAGTACAATGGATTTTGGCTTTGTAGAACTGTAGCCCTACTTAGAAGCTTTTCTTTTTTCTTTTCTTTTTCAGTGAAATCCCCAATCCCCAAGCATTGCTGGGGATGAAATGGAGGCTGAAACAGTGGCCTTGTACTGGGCTCTAAAGCTAGCCAACCTTAAAGAAAAGAAAAAAAGAAAAGCTTTGAGAGTTTTGATGTATGCATCAAACTCAATAAGTTGTCAATAACGCATGGCTAAGCAACCGAGAAGCAGAAACAAAATGGATGAATTCAAGCAATTTAATGAATGTTGAAAAGAAAATTATGCTTATAAAACTGCTCATTTACAAATACAAATACCGAGCTTCTGAGCTGGAAAATCAAGAATTCAAAGAAATCATCTTGTGATGGATTCAAAATTTGAATCTCTCCTATAGCCCCCAAAGCTTATGCAAATGAATTCATGATCATCACACTAACGCAGATAAATGGAACTTTTATTTTATGGGTCAATCCGAGGAAAAATTTTTCATTCTTGGGCTATAAATTTGCTACAGCAACTGCATATGCATTCCATGCATCTTGTTGCATAAAAGATGATGATTCTTCATATTTGGCATCAGGCTCCTCCCAGTGCTCACCTTCGTCTATGTTGGGCATTTTGCGGATCCAGAAATGTATTGATTGGAAGCCAGCCTCTTGCAAGCAGTCCTTGATTTCAGGCAGCGTCCACCTGATCATGTGCAAAGGGTGGTCAGATTCACATAACAAACATTGTATACACTTTCAGCATATATGAAGAAAAAATAAGGTGCACCCTTTCAAGAGAGAACCCAAAAAAATCTGCAGGCGAATTTGGAACAGTTATTCGCAAATTTACACGCAAGAAAACTATCACAATTCTTTTTTGACAATTGCTTTTTAATTTTCTTTATAAAAAATAATATTTTATAATGAAATTTAATGAAACGTCACGGCTATAAGAGAATTAAGGTCCCAATTATCAAAATATGTCCAATCACAAAACTTTTAAGGAAAAATATCTCAAGACAGTAATGCAGTTGCCGAAAAAGTTTAAATAGAATAAAGCAGTCCATTTAAAATAATAACATAATACGTTACAATAATAACATAATTATGTAAAGCAGTCCATTTAAAATAATAATATAATACGTTACAATAATAACATAATTATGTAACAACATAATTATGTTACAATAATAACAACAAAATTAAACTAAATCAAATGGCCGAAAAAGATTGAAAATTATAAATATTTACAAGAACAAGATTTTTAAATTCTAGCTTACACTACACTAAAAAATAAAGGTGATTTCATTCATGTTCTGTTTAAACCACATTCAAAAGACATTGAATTTGAAACTTGTAAGCCCATGATAATGTTATGAAACAAAAAATCACTTCAAAATAACTTTTTTTTTATTTTATAGCATGATAAATTTGAGCAAATGATGAGAATACTAACAATTTTGAATATTAAGCCCAAAATGTTAAATCAAATCAAATTCAATATTCTAATCATCACAATATATGATTATAATTTTAAGTGGAATAACAATGCAAGTTAAATTGTTAAAAACTTTTCTATTCAACTTAAAATAAAATTTAAATGTAAACATTCAAGAAAAATTATGTTAAAATAAAGCAGTGTTGAATCCAAATTTATCATGTGAGACATGCTCAAGAATCGGAGCGGTAGGAATTTTAAAGGACAAGTGAAGAGAAAAAGACAAAGTAAAAAAGCACACAAAGAATTGCCTCATAGAAGCAAACTGAGTTTTTCCCAAGATTTGTGACCTATTTTATATATTATAACTGAAGGGTTACAAAAAAAGAAGAGGAGAGAGATCTCCTTACAGAGTATGGGTCTAAAAAGAAGAGCCAAAAACCCTTTTTACATGCATTGGACCCCTATTTATAAGAGATGGGAAAGTCATAAACGAAAAATTGCATATATGTCTCTAAATCAATAAGGGGGATACAGGAAAATATTATTTGTTGTCGTTTCTTTTCATATTCATAATTGATTTTAGTGTCATTATTGTATTTGGACCTTTGACTGTGATAGTGTCAGTTTGTTATTTTGTCCGGGAAACTGTCCGTCTTCGTTCTAGGAAGTCGATCGACTCTGAGAGTAGTAGCGATTAACCCTAGTAATGGTCGATCAGCCTGCTTGTTCCATTGTGATCTTCAGAGGAAGTATTGAGAGAGTCTCATGTTGATACTTGTGAGACTGTTGGGGGTGCTAGACATTTGTTCACTTGTTGGAGTGAATATTTGTTATCATTCGGCCTAGGTGGCCCTTTCGTCGATCGTCAACCTTCGGTCAGCTGGCAATTTTTCAACCAAACGGCTTTATGAGTACTTGAATATTCATTAGAGGAATATTCTCTTATTTATCTCTTTTGATCGACCATCAGATTGTCTTGAGATTAGTATAGGTCATTTTTTGGTGTGCATATTAGGTTCCCTAATTTTCTTGTTCGTTGATAGCAACAGTTGAGATAAAGATAGAAATTTTAATGCAATAAATTGAATTTTAATGCTCACAATTTAATGCAATGGATTTTCATGCCTGCCACCTATAATAT